TAAAAGTAACCAAATTTTATGGAATAACCTCAAGAATTGGTCTCATTTTTTATTGAGCTTTTATAACTCCCCCTTCTCCTCCGCCCGTTCTCAGGTTGCTGAAGCAGCCATTTATGATTATATATCCCAGAAATATTTGGAATGTTTTTTAATCCGGTTTTTCAAATTATATAATTCATTTTGAAATATCCTCCCCTGTCGTTTAATATTAGAATTTACTGTATAGCACTCCCATTGCAAATTATATTTTTTGTAACTGTAAAGTTGCATCTTGTAGTACGTATATGCCGTCCAAGAAAACTTCACCGTTATCTTCTTTCACGTTTCCTCTTTCTCATAGAATGGTATTATTAGTACGTGGCATTAAAAGACTGTGGTATGGTCCAATATATGAAAAAAAAACAAACGAATGATTATTAACACATATCTATATTCTGTAGAAAAGGTATATTTTTCTAGAAGGGTTTGGGAAGATGTTTGGAATATCATCTAAGATAGCATATTACACAAAACAAAACCAAATAAACATATAAACAAAAAAGAAATGCTTTGGTATGAACGCTTTATTTAAAATATACCTTACTAATTAATTAGTACGTATGTATCATAATTGGTTGTTGTAAATAATTAAAAATTATACGATTGTATTCAATGTACCTACAGTATAACTGAAGCGTTGATGAAGGGGCTCTATATGGGAGTGGAAGGGAAAAGAAAAAGACAAAACAAAATTNATAATATTTTGCTTCTCTATTAGTTTAAATAAAAATGCATATAAATATTTCTTACCCCCAACCTCGTGAATGTAGTTTAAATTAACAAAATATAGTAAATGGGACCTTAAAATTATCTCATCTAATTTCAATTTACGTTCATGCAAAATTAATTGAGTGAAAATCTGTTTGCATTAAAGCTGCTGCATAAAACGTACAGCTAACTCGTTATACATGTAAAATTTATTGCTAGAAAACTAGTTAAAACTGTGCACAAATAAATGGAATATATATATACATAAATGTTCCCTTAATGAATTTTCTTCCGTATACGAATAATATGGAACGTGTTCATTAAGCTAAATTTACTTTGTGCCATTTCCACATCTACATATTAACCCGGAAAGTTTAGTCGAACTTTTCTGAAAACTTTAAACCAGAAATACTTACAACAACTTAAAACTAAGTTTAATATGTAGATAAGAAGAATATTCTTAAACGAAGACCATTTCGGAATAGGGAAGTTTAAAAATTTACATGAAGTGTGGTTACGTATCTAATATTTAGTGAATATTGGTATAAAATAATCTATAAATTATTAAATGAAAATGTAATGCACTCACTTTTCTTTTTATATGGGATGTATAGACCATCCGTCAATTTATTCACTGTCGCTCCAAAAACAACCCGTCGATTGGAGAAAACGTTTTATAATGGTAGAGTTTGCCGAATAAGATGCTTTTGTTTGCTTCCTCCTTAAATATTTAGTTGACAGTTCCATTCGGATCACGTAAATTCTAAATAAACCTCTTCTTTTGTTTAAATGTGCCGGTTGGGTCATTTCGGCTGTTCGCAATGGTCCTTAAAGAGACATGATCTCCATATAAATTGCCTCAATGAGTTAATAAACTTATAAAATAGTCTTGCTAGTACCTCTATAATAGCGCCATTATTCCTCCAGTCACACTTCCTGTAAATTATATTAACTGTTTTCGAGACAATCTTTATCATCCTGTATACGGAGAATTTGAATGAGAATGGTCCTTCGAGCCGGATGTCTTCTTTTTGAAAGTATTTTTTGTTGTTTGAATTTATGAGTTCCTTAGTATATATACATGCATCTATTAAGGTTATACTGAATATTCAACAGTTATCAATTAGATTTTCCCAATTTTCCAGTGGATTAATCTAGTAATGATGACCTGTGGTGTGGTTTGAAACCTTCTCAAGTGTATTTGTATTCGATTTTATTCTATTAGTTCATTTTTTTATTACCATCCTTCTAGAGAGAGAAAGAACGAGGATCTCACATATCATACATGTTTCGGCTACCGTTCGCCGCAGGAAGCGTCTTCAGTGCGAGCATGCTCGACACCTTGTTATATCAAGCATTCGTGAAAGATTACGTAATCACGTTCGTTAGGCTCCTTCTGGGAATCGACCAAGCACCAGGATCAGGATTTCTTACATCCGTAAGTATTCATTCGTATGACCTGACCTCGGAATATCGATTCATTTTTTTTTAAGGTACCTATTATTATAACTTTAAAAAGGTATTTCCATGTAAAAATGTAGGTTTTTCTTATTATTCATGAAACAGGTTTTAAACATCGAGTAGGAGATCTTGTTAGCATTCGGCACCCCAGCATCCACGAGACGTAAATATTAAGGGGTGCCGAGAACCCATGACCATAAGTATCAGTGCCAATTGGGTACACAAAAATGCTAAGATGTTTGTTCTGATAAATTCCAGAATAGATCATGAGAAAGTCAAGCACTTTAATCAATAAATTAATCAAAAAGGAATTGACTATAGTTACCACAAAATCTGGTCACTGTGGATACGTGTTTCGGCCACTTGTGGACATTTTCAACACGGGTGAAACACGTACCCTCGCTTTACAGACATTTGTAGTTACTAGGATTAGCATTTTTCTACTTTAATTCAGTCAACAAACAAATGAAAAGATTATGAGCACCTACGAATTTTTTTAGAAGTCAGTAGCGCCTGATGTACCTACATCCTTTTTGATGATTTAGGCATGTTTAATATGTTTTAAAGTGTGATAAGTATGTACATATTTGTTTCAGATGAAAATAACGAAGGACGACATGTGGATTAGAACGTACGGTCGGCTGTACCAAAAGTTGTGTTCAACCACGTGTGAAATACCAATCGGAATATATCGCACTCAGGACACGTCGATTTCTGAGTCGTCTAATGTGAGTATGAGTGGTTGCTCATCTGCTTGGTCGATCTGTGTGCGTATGCCCTCCTCCCAATCGGTGAGTAACACCATTATGGAAAATATACCTAATGGCATTTCGTATCTAACACAAAACTTGTTTAATAACGTACAATTTTTATATTTACTAACTTATGATTTTGTTTGATTGTTTGTTTTTTTATATCTAAATATATGTTTCTATGCATTGTTTTTGTTTTGTTTCATTCGTTTGTACAATTGTTATTCTAAAGATTAACAAGTTGCTTGCATCGTACTTCGGCGAACAGTAAGTATAATAACTAATACAAATAATTTTTTTTTTCAATTTTATGCTTATCTACCAATGGGTTCCTTTTGAATCAGGGTTATTTAGTAAACAAACTAACATTTCTTTTGTGCTCACTTTAAAAAATTATTTTAAACGTTTAAAGAAAAGTGTTGTAGGTGAAAGTAGAGTATATCGTCAGAAACTATGAGAAAAAAGCGTAAAGATGCTCTATAATTTTTAGATTTTAGACTTTAGGGAAATATATTCTAAATATTTTATTATTATAAATGAAAAGAAAAGACGAGTCGATGCAAGTAGCAAAAAAAAAATAAAAAAAACGAACGCTAATTTTGATGTTGAATCACCTGATGTTCTAACCACCCTTATTTAATGTCTTTTTCGTTTTTTTCTTCAACAACAGCTGGCAATGTCTAAAGGAGAAGCACACGCACATGGTTAATCAAGTTCTTATACTTTCAATCAATAATATATTTTATATATTATACATGCAGTTATTGTAACTTTGATACCTACTCGATGGCATGCTTTTACATAATATCTATAGTGCACGTTATAACTGAACTAATTTTTATTATCACTTTTTTACCTTTGCATTATTGACCCAGGCCAACATAGTGTATATAATACTTACCTGCAAAAGTTAATTCAATAATGCGCCATTTTATTTATAACGTATTTGTGTACTCACCTAAATAACAATTTTACAGTCAATAATGATCTTAACTTAGCTTATAAACTCAATCTGTAACTAAGAGCCTAGCATTTCTCCATCTTTTCGTCCTTAGTATTTTAACACTATTATTAACAGCCAAATTTTCGGTACTTTCTTTAATTATTGCTAAAACTAAGAGTGCCACAGAAAAAATGTTTAAACAAATGTTTTTGTGTCTTGACGGCACTATCCAATGACCCTATTACCGATTCTGGCAATTGAAGAATAACTAATTTATTTACTGAAATTTTTTCGGGTTCGTCGCTTGACGCAACGTTGAAGTCTCCCAGGTTTTTTGACATTATCACCGAAACAAAAACCGTTATCAAAAACTGTTTTAGACAAAAGTTGTTCAACGTCTCATTGGCTTTGCACTGATATCAAATTTTTAGCATTTGGTTCGATATTAAATGAGTAGGGCGGTTTTCCCTAGAACGCTGCAGGGATCTCTTCTGGTGTAAGGTGCAGATAAAAGTTTTTTGATTTTCTAACGAAAAAAGTACCGTATTGGAATATAAATGTGCGAAATACTACTAAGGGCTTTTAACAATTCTTTTTTCGGCTATAACTTAATTATTTGCTGAAAATTTTTCGGGTTCGTCGCTTGACGCAACGTTGGAGTCTCCCGTGTTTTTTTAGATTATCAAAGAAAGTATAAGTGTTGTCAAAAAATTTTTTAGACAAAATTTGTTCTTTGTCTCAAGGGCTTTGCGTCGATATAAAAATTTAAGCTTTTGGTTTTATATTGAATGAGTAGGGTGATTTTTTCTAGAGCGCAGCAAGAATCTGTCTTTTGGTGTAGACTGAAAATGAGAGTTATTTGATTTTCTAGCAAAGAAGAGTACTAAATTAGAGTAAATATGTGATATATTAATCAATGCTTCTAATAGTACTGTTAAATTAAATTTTTTATTTTGTTGATTGAAACTAAGAGTGAGATACAGAAATGTTAGCATCTTTCCTATAAAACCGATCGTCCACAAGGTTTTCTTATTAATGAATCTTTCTGTCTGAAGTAGTGCACGACATAGCTTTACTAGCCTCCTTTCTTGCTGTAGCTTGACGAGGATTTCGGGCCTGATCGCGTAGGGGTCACTTATAAACCTAAGGAAGGTACTAACTGTCTTGGCTGTGCTGAAACACGACACTCGATGGTAAGTTGGCAATGGGTTTCCTTCACAATAAATGCAACAACCAAAGAAAACAGAAAAGTATTCATTTTTCTTAATTTTCAATTTCTACTAGTTAGATTAATTATGTGTCATATTTACAATTATTACGACATGAGTAAGTAATAAGCACATTATTATTATTATGGTTTTGCATTTATTAGTCAAGGAAATCAAATATATGCTTTTGCATGCCTTTCCCTTAAAAACACTTTGAAATAACAGCATTCTTAACTAACTGCAAAGTTTTTGAGTTTATTTTGACGAATACAGTATAAAATAGACAAACCTTGAGGGAAATTTTGTCAAAACAAAAAGAATAACGACAATCAAACCCATTAGTAGTAGATTTTCAATTAATTTTGATGCGTTTACAAAAAATTAATATTTACAAGTAGTATTTCTAGAAAAATTTATTTGTTTTATGCCTCCATTTTTCGGTGTAATTTGAGATATTGAAAACGTTAAGGTAACTAGCGCATTGTTTTTATTAGATCCCTTGTTATCCAATAGTGTGTATCTCGTTATTCATTTTTGAAAAGCAAAATTATTCTTATTTTGTTAAATACACGTAGTTATCCCGTTTGACAAAACTACCCCAGGAAACCCACGTTACTTAAGCCATTATTCGTCCGGTTGCTGTTCATTTTTTACCCACTAAACGATCCTTTAACGTCCCCAGTACTCCTTGAACATGGTAGACGAAGCCAAAGATAATCACGAGCAGCAAATCGAGAGGGCAGAAATAGCCAATCTAGTTCGATCGCGAATGGAAAGTCTGAATCTTCCTCCAATGGATTACAATGACGTTAGCGAGAAACGAAATAGTCTTTCTTACGTGATCATTAATCCCAGCTGTGACTTGAAGTTGGAGGAGGGCGATATCATGTAAGGGACTAAACTAAAACTCTTTAGAACTCTTCAAACAATTTGATTTTGATTTTTTCTCTGTCATCCTAAACTGAAGCTATTTGGTACGGCCTAGTCCATTTTCCGCACAAAAAACGTTCGAACGTCACAACAGTAGAAGAAAATCGAACATCAGCTTCTGCTCCCAAACCCTAATCCAGCAAATGGGCGCGTCGACGGGTAGCAGACGGGGTTCAACCCTTGGCCTTGCCAGTTACCAACCACCCCGTCCGCCTCCCTTAGCGTCTACAAAATCGAACTCCCTGTCCCTCCCCGATAGTCCAACAGTTGGAGGATATCAACGCGGAAGATCCAACTCCTTGAGGGTAGTGGACGACATCTTGTTACGCAGATCTAACTCGTTACGTCAAGGACTTACGAGTTTAGACGTTAGCAGGCGAAAAAGCAGCTTAGAAGACATCGGACTTTTACACTTTTCTACCAGCAGCTACAGGAACCCCATTAAAATAGCACTCAACGAGAGTATAGGTTTAGAAGTGACTCCCCCCGAGGAAAGCAGTCCGCCTTCGATCAGTAGTAATACACAGTTAATAGTGAGGCCTCCGAGCCTTGGTGCCGGACTCAGTTGTGCCGGGAGTACTTTGAGTTTGTCGCAAAGTGTTTTTTCAACAACTCAACCGTTGAGTTTAGGTATAAATCCTCCTCCGACCGTGTACTGCAGCGGAGAGAATATATCGCAACAGGCCGGACTACCGTCAACGACGAACCTCACGGACCCTCAACACCTTCAGGGCACAATAGTATGATACAACCTCATGTGGGGTAGAAGAATGAGTGGCTTCAGGAACAAGTGGCTCTAATTCTCACTCCCACGCGTAGATTACGTACTTTTCGTTGATTATTGTTGTTACCTGTCGCGTTTTAGACGTTTTTGAGCTTTGGACGTAAGAGGAAAAACGAAAGGTAATGTTTTTAATTACTTATTATTTAATTTCAACCAAAAAAAAAGAGAGAGAGCAGAAAACCCAGATGTAATTTCAAAGGTGTAAGAGAAAATGAAAACTGCTTTATGTTTATTTTTCTTTACAACTCATTACACAGGAGTGACAGGAAAATTGATATTTTCCAACCCTTAAAATTTGTTCGTTCAAAATTATTGGGTAATATCTGTCTTTACGTCAACTACTATTTTCTAAATTTTTCGAGTTTTCTGTCTAAAGAAAAATAAAAAAAATATATATATAT